CAAGAGGTATGCAGCAAGAGTTTCCCGAGCCACCTTCGCGGAGATACGGGAAGTAGAAAACCTCTAGAAAGACGGATCCGAGGTACCCAAAGGCGCCCGGAACCGAACTCGGGGAGGAGCCAAACCCTAATCATACTCATACAGGGAAGGGGGTTAAGAAAATCCCTCCCCCTGCAATAATAAGCCCCGCGAGGAAGGCAAAAGCACCCAAGCGGGGTCAAAGGGGGCCCAAGGTCCTCAGGTTGACTCCTCCCCAGCCCCAGGATCCCCCATGTCGGGACCCTGGGCAGAGCCATCCTCCAAACCCTCTACCCCTGAAGAAAAGGCAGAGTCCAAGGGAAAGGCAGACAAGAAGCGGGTCTGCTGGTGGGACCCAGAAGCCTCAGCAGGAGGAACCGGCTCAAATGCCTCCGTCCTCGACCCGGATGGGGCAGCCCCCGAGGCAGCCCGAATCTCATTACCAACTAAACCCTGTGCCGAGGCCGAAACCCTCAGATGTTTTGGAGCCGGACACAAGGGGGGAGGTGCAGGAAGAACCACAGGGGAAGGACCAGGGGGCGCGGCAGGAGCCAAAGCCAAAGCAACTAACATCCCCAGGTCAGGGTCCCTAAAACCAAAACGGGGCATCCGGGTGGGAAACCAACCTAGCGCATTGCAATAACCTAAACCTAACATGCAACGCTGATGCTGCCTGTACCCTAACAGGAACATCCTCAGAGTAAAACTGGAGCACAAGCAGAGAACATGACTCGCAAGACTCCGGGTCAAAGGTGTCATTGACCCAACAGGCAGCATAACGGAGGCAAAACAGGTGACTGTCACCCTGAGACAAGGGCACACTGCAACCTTCAAACCCGCACAAGGCAGGTTGGAACTCGGGAAATGCATCCATGGGTCCCCGAGCCCCGACAGGGGTTTCCAGGGTTCGTAGGGTAATAACTACAGGAAGCCCGTAGTTGAGGAGTTTGTGGCCGCCGCCTCCCGGGTAAGTCCCTATTTTCCTTCTCTTCGGGTATGTAGCTCCAGGGAGCCATAGGGGCTCCCCGCAGAAAACCAGCGTTGAATGTAATGAAACGCCATTTTCTGGGTGAGCCCCGGAGGCTCCTTGGCTACCCTCCCTCCCATCCGGTCGGCAGGTTTTTTTGCATAGGTTGAAGCCTAGTTTCCAAACTGAAGGCAGCTAGCGTGGTGAGGTTCCCTCCCCATCCTGGGGAGGTGAGGGCTGCGCGGACGACCGGCGCGGCAGTAAATTGATTGATTGATTGTTTCCTTAGGATTGTAGGGAATTTCTACCTCTCTGTTCGGTTTTTGTTGTAGTTTTTTACCATGTGGGGTTTGTTTTGTTACGCCTACCTTTCTGGGTGCCTGACCCCGGTCGATGGCAGATAAGGAAAACCCCCAACCATAATAGGGTTTTCCAGTGCCATTGCTCCCTGAAACCTCTCTGAAGGGGCCAGGTTCTGGCACTGGTTCCTGGTAGGTCTGAACTCCATAGCTAATGTCCCGGTCTAACATAACATACATTAGCCCGATAAGCTCCAGGGAGCCGTAGAGGCTCCCCACAGAAAGGAGATGATCAATAACCTCCAGCCGGCTTGGTGAGTGCTGGTCACAAAGCCCCAATCCAGAACCAAGGGTTCCATGAAGACATCAAGTGAGGGTAGAGGAAGGTGCCAGAGAACGAAAACCTTAAAAACAGAGGGGGCCAACGGGGGCAGGCAAGCTGTAGCCGCTGAAGAAGAAAATTGCTCCCCCACATCCTCAGGAAAGAAATGAGGAGAAAAGGGAAAGGTGGTCAAAAGAGCAAGTGCCCACAAAGAATCCAAAGAGTGGGCTAACACAGCCGGCCGACACACATGAGGCAGACCACGTTCTTACCCAAAGAACGTGGCCACCGCTTCCCAGAATGTGGGAGAGTACAGCTTTGGAAGCACAGCCAAAGCAGCAGCAATGGACGCCAACACTCCTGCATGTGGCCTCCTCACCAAGCACTTCAACATCCTCAGAAAGCCAAACAGTGTGCAGCTCAAGAAGACCTAGGAAATGCAAGACAAACAAATGCAGACAGGCACAAAAGTTATCCACCACAAGCGACACCTACAACAAAGGAACTTGGGAATGGAGCTACACAAGACCCACGCCCAAAGAAAGAGCCAGAGCAAAAAGGCAGACATTGAGGGGTGCAAAATAATGAGCTTCCAGTAACACCAACAAAGTCACCACCTCACATCACTCAAGACACGGGTATGTCAAAAACTGCACTAAGCAAGAATATGGGAGTGTCTCCCAGCCAGAAAAACTTTGGAACCTCATAATGCATTCAATAATGAAATGAAGACCCAAACTCAAAGAATGAAGTGTCCATCCACGAGGTATGATCTAGGTCTCGCAGAAGGTATGTGAAAAGCACCTCCTAAGCCCCCATGGGGGTAGGGGGAGGGGGGGCAAGAAGGAAACTTCCTGAATGATAATCCTGACAACTCAAAGGTACATGGTATTGAAATCTGGGGAGATTCACATCCAAAACAAACTCATACCTGGAGGGAATATATGAAAACCCCGTCCCCGTGCAAAAGGAGACCCTTCTCAGAGGGAACCAGGAAATGTGTTGAGTTGAAAGATACCCAAAAGCCCACATCCAGCTCCCACCAAACCCCTAGCCAGAGGCCACAGTTGAGGGCCCCAGAGCAGACCCAGCATCCTTGCCTACCACCCCAGGATAGAAAAGCAAAGTCCAAGGGAGAGGCTTCAAATGGCGGGGCTAGCTGAAAGGAAGACCCACAAGCACTGGTGGGATCTGCCAGCTCAACTGCCTCTGCGCCTGATTCAGAAGGGGTAACCCCAAAACCTGACCAAGCCACATCCTGAGCTAAATCCCACCCCAACCCGGAAACCCTCAGACGTTACTGGTACTGACGCATGGTAAATATGATCAGAGGAAGAGGAAACCATGCCCAAAGGGGAAGGAAGAGGAGGTGCAGACAAAGCCAAGGCAGAGCTCACCAACATCTCTTAATCCAGGTCCCTAAACACCAAACAGGGAAGCTCTAGGCAGCTAACCAGGCACCGAACCCAAACTGCCATAAATGGGGAAGCAAACTTGTAAAGTGGAAACTACCTGATATGCCCAAAGGCGGTGAGAAGGAAAGAACAGCCATGTCCTCCACATGGGAAAGACAAATCACATTTGACTTAGGGTCAAAGGTATCCCCTGACCCACCAGGCAGAACAGTGCAGGAAGGACAAGCAATCACCAACCTGTAGCATGAGCATCAAGCAACCCTCTAACCCGCACGAAGTGAGAGCAGCTTTGGTGAGGGAACATCCATAATACCATCGAACTCACTAGGGATTTCCAGGGCCTGCAGGGTAAACTAAGCAGGACACCCAGGCCCTGGGAATGCTACGCCGGACCTAAACAAAAGCAAACACAGCCTGGGTAACTCGGCTGTGAAGGCCGACCTCCGCATGCTGAGAAACGCACAATAACCAAGAGTCCGCTCTTCCAGCCAAAAGTAACACCTGACTCGAGTCAAGACAGTGAAACCAGAAGACCTGACTCACCCTGGTCATGGGCCATCACAAGCAAGGACCTGTAAGAGAGCAACTCCTGAGCACTCCTCCAGGGAAGATAACTCTGGCAACACAAGGGCAGCACTAGGAAGTACCCAGATGAAGGTAACACATGCAGCTCCAAGAACTCTCAAAGCTTGGCTCACACTCCACTGCAGTGTACACTAAATGCCACCAAGAGCAACCACCATACCACTCAGCTGAACAGACAAGAATACTGGAGTCACCATAGGAGAGAGGCGACCCGGTATGCACTACATCAGTGATAGAACTGACAGGTCGGAACGCACCTAAGGAATGCCTATTTTTTGGGTGTGTTTTGAGGCTTCAGTCTCTCTTAAATCTAGCAGTAGTTTGTTTTGACCACTGACTTTCTGGTTCCCTTCCCAGTGAGGTGGTGAAAAATGTGCCTCACACTGAGGGGGGCCAGGTTCTGGCTCTGGTCCACGGTAGACCTTAGAACTCCACGGCTGATGCAACCTAGTAGATTGTACTATCTCACCGGATGGCATCAGGAAGCCACAAGGGGCTCCACCCCAGCAAACTGATATAGTCGACCATGAACGTGCTTAGCAAATAACGTATGATGCACAGAAATATTTTAGTGTGGAGAAAATGATGAACTTTGCAGTAATGACACTAAAACTACAGCAGAAATAATGGGCAGTGAAGATGACCTCATACGTGATTACTAACAGACATTTTCGCATGAATCTACACTCAACAGGCAGCTAAGACAGGGAATATATTAATGTCCTGCAGCACGGAACAAGACCAAAGCATTCGACAGACTCAACCCATTCACAAGAGCAGCTTTGGAGGATTGGTCCATATCAGTCCACACTAGAGAAATCAAAGAACCCAAAGGCAAACACTAAGCAGGTATCTCAGGCACTGGATTTACTCACTGAGAACTCTTGCCTGTTATAGCCAAGGAACACGATGCTGCAGCTGCTGTATTAGACATAAGTGGCACGCTGTAAAACAAGCATGCACAAGAAGAAAATCCACAGGAGTCATGATGAGGAATTTAACCTATGCACTGGATATTCCCAGATGCATGCGCTAAAAGACAACGCCATGGCATGGTCAAAAGAATCGTAGGTTCAAATCCTCATCATAGCTCCTGTGGATTTTCTCATTGATATATCACAATAATGTGATTTCTGTGTATAGGCATGCACAAACCTGTGTGCTTCACGAACAAGAAGAAATTCCTATGCCTGTTTATGACCACCGAGCATTGCAGAGTAAGGGCCCAAGGGCCTGGTGTGATTCAAATTGGCTGAAGCTATCCAGGGAGTAAAAGGGAGCCCCTGATATAGAAAAAGAAAAGGTACCTGCAACTACTAACAGGTAATCACTTCCATTCATTCTGGCTCAAAACCATGGAATAATAATCTACAATTAAAGAGAACAAAACTCACCCTAACATATGTATGTATAAAAGTTTGGCAACATTGCGACATCTCCAAACAGAATCTTCTTCACGGAATGTAAGGCGGATGTAGGCACACTCCCTGTTAACAACCGCTCTTTCCTCAGCGGCTGTCTTGGCCGAGCGAATCTGTCTTATGAGGTCTCGTAGGCGGATGGGATTTGGTTGTCGCACTGCAGGCAATAGAAACATCGTGTAGAAAATAATAAAGCCATAATTTTATTTCAGTTCATAATTAGTCAGTGTACAATTTTATTTTTCCACAAAATTATTATACAGTATATTATTTCAGTCAGTAGCATGAGTTATTAAAACAAGAACAAAGGACAGCCTACATCATCCCACGCATATTAGTACAAAGAAAATCACATACTGTAATTGGTTACGTAGAAACACTGTCAATCATGTTATAACAGTTAATGAATACTGTATACGTGTTATGACAGATGTCATCCATATTAAGATAAAATGCAGCTGCCACAACAAGTTAACACAACACCTGCAAGGCTTTATCATCTTCAACACTAAGTAATAGTTTATTACCTCGCAGGGATCACAGCACCAGCAATACCAATACAAACCAACAATCACTGATATACAAAGCTATAAAACATCCATATGTGCATTTCGATGAAGATCTAATCACAAGAATTACTAACCAAATAAAACAGATACTGTACTGTAATCCCAGTCATGTAATATAGCATGACAATTGTAAACTCATAACAATATGTAATGTCATGTTATAATAGCTTCATTTACTGAACCATGAAACAATCTACTACAGTAGTAGAAAATAAAATTATGTATAGCAATTAGTTTTTCTTATTTGATTATTTACATACAGTCTGTCCAATAAAGCCTCATTTGTCAGGAACACTTAAGTTAGAACACTGGAGCATACTGCTGGTCGTTCAACACCGCCCCACACACACACATCCACACACACACTGCATGTTGTTCAACACCTTCTGGCTCCACACACTATGGAATTAGACCTACAAATTAGTACACATTTTTTTCATTTCCAAATAATCAGTGTCATGCACTTCCTCAGTGTATGAAAGAGGAGACCCAGCAACCATAACAGCATCTTGTATGTACCATACTACAGCAGTTACTGACAATATTATCATGGAATCTCTATTTCCACATTCAAAATTGTCTAGTCAAGCCTATTCTTTGCCAGCCTTCAAAGTTCCTGTATAATATAACAATCTTTAACAATTATCAGACGTTTCTCAAGACATTCAAATCCACTAGAAAAATCTCTTTAAAACCTTGGTGAAATGTTAGCCACACAGGAGCACCTGAGAATATCTCCACCAATTCAATGACTGCTTCACCTAAAGAGGAACAATTACCTAAGTATTAGAAATTAAATTACAATATAAATATTAAAATATTCCAGAGAGAAAAAGATGCACCTGCCTTTATCCTATTTTCTGGTACTAATTTCAAAATTTAAATTTTCAAATGACAATGTTAAGCTACGTTTATATGCATCAAGCTCTACCTAACAATGTCACACCAACTGCAAGGAGTCTAACAAAAAAGATGAAAATAAAACAATTACAAATCGTCAAAATAAAAAAAAATGTACACATACTGTATTTATAACATTTACTAAGAAAATCATGCTGAACCAAAAGTAAACATGAATTATTGTGGTTTATTTTAATGTGTTATATTGCACTATAAAAATAAATGCTCACTTAAATTTGGAAAATGCCTTGTAGCAAACAAGGCAATACAGTACATAAGGTAGAGAAGGTAGGAGGCTGAACCTGCCACCAACATGAAGATCTTATAAAAACATTACGACTGTACATCCCCAAAAGGACGTACAGTACATTGGAACCTCAACTTACGATTGCCCCTATTTATGAATTTTAAGAGTTACGACTCCAATTTCGTCGGAAAACTCGGCTGTACTTATGACCTTTGCCTCGATTTGTGACTTTGTTGATACACGTATGTGTTGACGGAGTGGGTGATTCCTGGTGGCATGGGCAACCCCGCTTCAGTTTACCAGATCGTCCACTTAATGACGATCGGGCTTGAATTCTTTGTAAAAAATCTCATTGTGTTTCAGCTTTCTAAACATAAAAGTAATTATATACACCACACCATGGGTTCCTCAACAATTAAGAAGTATGTGCAGTATGGAAAGAAATGCAAAGTTTTGTTGAAACAACTCGCCCAAATCAAGCTGCAGTAGGCCGTTGCCTTAACCTTTTCAATGACAATGTGATGCCTCTCTACAGACGTGTTAAAACGTAGGGAAAACAGTCTCTGTGGAAAGGTTCCTAGTGAGAAAAACAGGCAGTGAGCCACAACCAGGTCCTAGTGGTATGCAGGAAAAACGTAGGATAGACAGTACCCCAGAGAAGTCATCACTGCCTGATGTTATAATGGAAGAGAACTCCCCTGCCAAAGAGTACAAAGAGTAACACCTCTCCTCCTCCTCCTCCCCGCCCCCTCCTCACCGTCTTCCATACGCCAACAAGTCATCAATAAAGGTAAGCTATAACTTGTACATACTACAGTACAAAATGTGTGTGTGTATTATGTATGAAATGTATTTTGAAGTTAATATTTGTACAAGTGTGGAATGAATTTTTCAATTTACATTATTTCTTATGGGAAAATTCGTTTCGAGTTACGAGTTACAGTTTTGAGTTACGAGTTACGTTTCGAGTTACAGTACAAAATGTGTGTGTGTATTATGTATGAAATGTATTTTGAAGTTAATATTTGTACAAGTGTGGAATGAATTTTTCAATTTACATTATTTCTTATGGGAAAATTCGTTTCGAGTTACGAGTTACAGTTTTGAGTTACGAGTTACGTTTCGAGTTACAGTACAAAATGTGTGTGTGTATTATGTATGAAATGTATTTTGAAGTTAATATTTGTACAAGTGTGGAATGAATTTTTCAATTTACATTATTTCTTATGGGAAAATTCGTTTTGAGTTACGACCCATCTCTGGGAAAGGATTAAATTCGTAAATGGATAGGCCACTGTATATGCAATTTTAATGTTTTCCTGAATTTGGATGCACGGAAATATTCACTCTTCCACCAACTAGGGATCCTGAGGCCTTGATGGGCTTCAGTAGAAGCCTCAGGACCCCTAAAGGATTCACTTGAATCCCAGGATGCATTACTTTTGACCAGGTTGTGGTGTAGTAGTCTTGGGCACATGCTCAGGAGTACCATTTATGCAGGTTTGAATCCTCTTCATGGCTCTTACTGATTTTCTCATTATGTCCAATGTTTTTAGAAACTATTTCTACACCATTAAATCTCAGTTGAAATCTTATATGGTTAAACAACCCATCCTCTTGTTTTTGGTAGTACGGTACTTAGGAAGGATGAGGACTACAGTACACATACTGACATACAACACAATTAGAAAGTAGAAAGCTGTACTATTGAATTTGGATAAACCAGGAAACGATAACTTGACGTGAGCGAGACTGAACTAAAATTATATACATTTAGTTTTGGTCTATGTAGTACCAATTTTTTAATTTTAATTGAAAAAGGCAATGTTGCTTTTAACCATGTCCTTTTAATTCTAATATGAAAATTATACCAAGTTAAATTATATCACTGACAATGCAAATGCTTTACAATACTCTGCTTTAATACATACACCAGTCCTTCAGTTATGAAAATACTTGTGCACTAAGCTTCTCTCTCACCAGAATGGTACCACAAATCTGTATAACATTTATATCAATAAAAATAAATCTTGTATAAATACCCTGTACCTAAAATCAGTAATACTGACATCAAAAGAACATTTAATGTCTTTTAAGAGATCAATTACATCAGAACATAATAGGCGTTCTGGATAGGTTTTGAATGCATAAACAAATAGTTGTTAATTGGAACACAATAGCGCCTACATAGCAGAGTAAAGCATTACTGGATGCTGATCACCCTACCTGTAGTGACAGCAGCAAAGGATACAAATGTGCGTGGGTTGCGAGGGGGTCCCTAACAAGAAGGGTCTACATACCTTTTTCGTATACCTCCTTACCTTTCTCCACGGCATCATTGATCACCTGTTTTATGCTCGACATCGTGCCGAGACTGGGGGGTAGAAGGGAGATGGTTATTTAAAAGTTGTCGGTACAACATCACACATGCTTTTACTATTGTTAAGCTCAAATGACAGGATAATTATAAATTCTTTAATCAGGAAAACTGATACAAAAAATTATTTGCTATAATGTACAGCACCCTAATATATATATCACAATAAGCATAGTGATAGCAAATTGCTGAAGGAATAGCCAGCATATTGTAGAATTGTAGCATTATTATGAAGTGTATTTACATGTAAAATAGAGGCAACATCTTAATTACAAAAATTAACCTTTGGACAGCAGTTATCATCATACATTGTTTCACAGGGTAATGTAGTCATCACCATACAAAGATTTAAACAATTATTGTCTGGGTTTTACATGTATAATGCATATATAGTTATAATAGCTCTGTGGATGTAAAGAGAAACAAGTGATAAAACAATCTGTGAAACATCCAAGGATAAAACAGGAAGCGTGGGCAAAGTCGAGCACCGGGTGTTGACACATGCCAGACAATCACCATGCAACCTTCTACAGCCCCTCAACCCACTGAAACTATAAATATTCACTTAGGTTTTTTCTTACATTCTGCATACAAATTAACAATTCTTTAATGAAAAATTATTATTGGGAATTATTTTATTTTTTACTCACAGGCTGGTATGACCTTTAGATAGCCACTGTCAAAAGGTTAAGTCTCATAGATGACAGCCCATGACAATGACAGAAGCAAGTGTTAACAATGAGTGAGGGAGGAAAAGCAAGTATCAAATACTGTAAATAACTTGGTACTGTGTTATGTACAGTATGGGAAATCACTAATTTTCCACATGAAAGTGGCAGCATTCAAATAACTGAACTGCAACAATCTTTCATTTGTGGCATATCAAAGACTGAATTTAAACCTTCCTACGTTATCTATTTAATAACAATAAGGAGACTCCAGGAAAGAATCCAGAAAAACCCAACTCGGTGATGGTTCTAACATTTATCAAAACCAACCAGCGCAAAGATCCACGGTGTTGAGAAACCAAGCAACATGAGCCAGTCCATCCTTGTAACCCTGCAGCAGTTGACAGAAAGACAGTGGTAGAGAGCGACAAAATTAAAAGAAGCAAGTGCAAGTATATTTAAATTATGATCTTTGTCCTGCATCTGTCAATTGTCGCAAAACTCTCCTCTCAAAATTGAAAAGCCAAGAATTCCAGGTTGATTTCATATTTCAATACATGCTTTATAATGATAAAACACCATCCCTATCGTAGCAGCCACAGCCAGTAACGGCAGAAATGAACCTTACATGATTAATGCCTCATCAGTGATAAACATATTTCTACATCAATACCTGATGAAGCTGTTGAAACAATAAGATGTATACACTCTTATCAATATTCATACACAGTCATAAGCAACCAAAGCATAGTCACACACCATACTACCATGCATATGCATGCATACTACCATACCAGACTATCAGATCTTTACTTTTAATGGTTCCCACCATACCAGCCTCAAAACCTGAGCAATTGATGTAGGTGGTTGGCAAATACACTAATGGTCATCCATTTGGATTATGGCTTTGTGATTACCAAGTAGCAGGCACACTATAATATTACTGGTATGTTGAACAGTGGTGTATGAATGAGGGATATAATTTTAGAGACCATCTTTGACAAGTGGAAGATACAGTATTCACGAGTGCTGTAACTGGCTGAACACGGCTCACTGGGGGTGGCCGAACACGGCTCACTGGGGTGGCCGAGCACGGCTCCCTGGGGGTGGCCGAGCACGGCTCCCTGGGGGGTGGCCGAGCACGGCTCCCTGGGGTGGCCGAGCACGGCTCACTGGGGGGTGGCCGAGCACGGCTCACTGGGGGGTGGCCGAGCACGGCTCCCTGGGGGTGGCCGAGCACGGCTCCCTGGGGTGGCCGAGCACGGCTCCCTGGGGGTGGCCGAGCACGGCTCACTGGGGGTGGCCGAGCACGGCTCACTGGGGCTGGCTGAGCACGGCCCACTGGGGGTGGCCGAGCACGGCTCACTGGGGGTGGCCGAGCACGGCTCACTGGGGGTGGCCGAGCACGGCTCACTGGGGGAGGCTGGGCACGGCCCACTGGGGGTGGCCGGGCACGGCTCACTTGGGGTGGCCGAGCACGGCTCACTGGGGGTGGCCGGGCACGGCTCACTGGGGTGGCCGAACACGGCTCACTGGGGGTGGCCGAGCACGGCTCACTGGGGTGGCCGAGCACGGCTCACTGGGGTGGCCGAACACGGCTCACTAGGGGTGGCCGAGCACGGCTCACTGGGGGTGGCCGAGCACGGCTCCCTGGGGTGGCCGAGCACGGCTCACTGGGGGTGGCCGAGCACGGCTCCCTGGGGTGGCCGAGCACGGCTCACTGGGGGTGGCCGAGCACGGCTCCCTGGGGTGGCCGAGCACGGCTCACTGGGGGTGGCCGAGCACGGCTCCCTGGGGTGGCCGAGCACAGCTCACTGGGGGTGGCCGAGCACGGCTCCCTGGGGTGGCTCATCTTCTGCTGAGCACTGTAATGTTGACCTCTTACAACACAGTTTGGTTAATACCTCAAACTAGTATAATTATAGAATATGCTCTCATGTCATTTTCAATCAATGTTTAATCAATGTTTATTTAGGTAAGGTACATACATACAAGAGATTTTACAAAGAGTGATGGATTTATAGATAGGGCTAGTACATACAATGCCTAAAGCCACTATTACGCAAAGCGTTTCGGGCATAATGGCATAATTTTATAAATAAAACATTTCCCTTTCAATTCACTTATGTATTAAAGGAGTTAATAATGTTACAGTATGTTTTCACTTCCTCTCTCAACACCAGTAACAGCCCCGGGTGGCCAAGAAGCGGCTACTTTACCCACCTAAATAACACTACTGTATTCAAAATATAGTATTTTGGTTATATAGGTTATAAAATATTGGTTATAAAATAAGAATATATGAACAAGACGACCAATTTGTCAGTCTCCAAGACGCTCGTATCCTCGCTCCACTTTACACCCAAGCTCGTCGACAACATAATGCACGAAAATGTTAATATTCGTAGAGCCACAGTAGTAAATAATAGTTAATTATGTCTGATCTACCGGACAATCGGTTAAACAGATTAATACAAGAAGTTGACGAGTGGCATAGAACCAATAAAAAAGTGAAAGCATTTTACCATCAATCTTAATTAATTTCTGAAGATGGCGCCTTAAGACCGTGCCCAAAGCAGGCCATGCCGCTGCTGACACCTACTGATTACCCACACAAATTAGGCAACTTGGCGCTCCAGTCGCTCGCACCACACGCAGCAAACGCCAATCAAAGTCTACGACTACCCTAAGCATGCATGGCATCAACACGACATTCCACACTGGAGCATCAACACACCAGGGCCAAGCCCAGCAGCTGGGTGCCACCTAGCCTGTCTGCCGGCAGACAGTGTGGCACTCCAGCAAGACCACCAGTGCCACTGGCCCAGGCTAAGATCTCTACTATAACCCTCACTATAATACTTCACTTTCCTCACAAACTACAACTCGGATCCCTAACAAAATGCTTAATTATGCGACCATTGATGAGGAGGAGTGCATGTGTGGGTGAGGCTGGGTGAGGAGGGCGAGGACACACTTGCCTCAGAATGTGGGCAGTGTCTGTGTTGACATCATCTGACTGGCCAAAATGGCAGCTCTCTAACCTTCTCTACACTTTAATACGTCTCTCAGCACCCTTCACGCCATTTCTCCCGCCTCTCCCTGGCCGGGAGACAAGGTGTACCCTTAAACAGAGCAATAGAGTCCGGCTCATCTCACCTGAGGTCACCTGAGGCGTAGAATAATAAAAGTTACTGAGGCATCTGCCAGAGTTGTGTCATCTGTGTGTTTCCGGCAAGGTGGCCCTGCTGGTGGAGCCACCTGGCGGCCGCCCCCACAACCTCCCTCCCGCCATCACCATATATCTCGCCTCTCTAACCACCAAATGTATATCTTTATCTCTCATAATGTTCGGTGATATGTTTAGTCTTTGTGTTGTGTGTCTATGTACGTATTAACACGATGTACTGAACGGGGGTGAGAATAGCTTGAGCTACCTCATCCCTTTGTGTGTATTTTACTCTCAATAAACTTATTTCAATTTTAATTCTCCTCTCTACTCTCACTATTTACACACCCACACTCTATTATACTCACCCAATTACAACCATTTACTTGCTTTCTTATTCTTAGTCGTACCTTTTTATTCTTACTGAGTGTATGAACTGTTTTCAACTGGGATTTTAGGGTTCATCTCATTACCTTTTTAAATGAGAGTGTTGAAACTTTATTTTCCATGTAATTAATTCCCACTGGTGTTATTATACCAGAGTACTTCTCACTTTATGGCGTTTTACACCACACAACCCAACAATATCTTAATTAACTGTAGTTGTTTTAATCAGTGCAAACAAATACAGTATTATGGGGAGCCGGTCGGCCGAGCGGACAGCACACTGGACTTGTGATCCTGTGGTCCTGGGTTCGATCCCAGGCGTCGGCGAGAAACAATGGGCAGAGTTTCTTTCACCCTATGCCCCTGTTACCTAGCAGTACAATAGGTACCTGGGTGTTAGTCAGCTGTCACGGGCTGCTTCCTGGGGGTGGAGGCCTGGTCGAGGACCGGGCCGCGGGGACACTAAAATGCCCCGAAATCATCTCAAGATAACCTCAAGATTATAAATCAACTAATTGGAAGCTCAATCGTGCTATAATCAATCTCTTGATTGATTATAACACAATTGACAGGTGGAACAAGTCCTACAGTTACCTCCATACCTCTCAGCGTTTATACGGAGCGAGATCTAGCTCTTGGACCCAGCCTCCTTGCAGATAAACTATATCTACTACTGAAACGCCTTTTCAAACAAAAATTAGGATGTTGCATGCATACCAGTACACAACATAATTACCAAATTACCCGATTTACCTAAGAGTAAAACGAAGACAGGAAGACGTCGGCTTGTCAAAGATCCTCACATTTGCCTTGATGATCCACCTAAATAGAGTTTTGGCATTTGCGGCTTCGGCGGGTAGGCAGTTCCATTGATTTATAACCCTGTGGGTGAAAAAGCATCTCCTGTTCTTAGTCCTACATTGAGGTTTGTTGAGCTTGAAACCGCTGCTCCTTCTTGTTGTTGTTCAACCACTTGGGCTGGACGGTAGAGCGACGGTCTCGCTTCATGCAGGTCGACTTTCAATCCCGGACCGTCCATGTGGTTAGGCATCATTCAAAAAATTTAAGTTTATTCAGGTAAAGTACATACATACAAGGGGTGATACAAATATTGATGAATTTATAGATAGAGCTAGTACATACAATGCTCTCCCGAGTATGTCCGAAACGCTTTGCGTAATAGTGGCTTTAGGCATTGTATGTACTAGCTATACCTATAAGTCAAACAATCCTTGTAAATATTTATTGTATGTATGTACCTTACCTAAATAAAATTGTATTGTATTGTATTGTACATACAATGCATTATTTCCCGCGCTCCCCCCATCCCAAATCCTTATCCTGATCCCTTCCTAGTGCTATATAGTCGTAATGGCATGGCGCTTTCTCCTGATAATTCCCTTCCCTTCCTTGTGTTGTTGTTGTTTTAAACTCAGGTACTCGGAACAAAACTTCCAAGTAGCACAGGCTATGGTGAACCCGTAGTGGACTTACCTGGCACAGGAGCGGGGCTGAAACTCGACGCGCTAGCTGCTCCTTGTTTGTGTTACATCTGACCTTCTGAAGAAATTGTCAACATCCTCTAACTTGTTCAGTAATTTAAAAGTCTCAATAAGATCCGCCCTGTGATGCCTGGTTTGCAGTGTTGGAACCCTGTGGCCCTCAACTGTTCCTGTACCAGAGTTGACTTATCTAAGGAACGACTTTTGTTGAGGTCTCCATGCTAGGATACAGTCATCCAAATGGGAGCACACCAGAAATTTTTACAGTTGAATCATTACATTCTTCTTAAAATCAACGGATCGTTTGATTTTTCTAAGGGTTTGGTTACCTTTTCTGACTGCTGCACCCACCTGTTGTCCAACATTTAGAGAGTGAATCAGCTTTAGGCAATCTTACAGATGCACTTCACAATATTAACTGGGATTCTGAATTCAATAATACCCATGATATAAATTCATTAGCTAACCTCTTCCTCTCCAAAACTCTAAGCCTGTACAACCTTCATTGTCCCCTTCTTACCAAGCAAGTAACTGACAAAAGATTAAACAATCCATGGCTCACAAGTGACATTCTCAACTCAGTCAACAAGAAACATGAATATGAAAAGAAACTTAGGATTGGCCTAGTTTCAAAGGAAGTAGCTAAAAGGTACTCATCACTGCTTACCAGTATCATAAGAATGGCAAAACTTGCATATTATGTGAATAGATTCAATGAAGCAAAAGGCAACATGAAAAGCACTTGGAAAACAATCTCTAGTATCCTAGGAACTAAACAACACTCACATAACCAAATAAAACTCTACAAGGATGGGGATATACCATCAACTGATTTAGAAATGGCAAATGAATTTAATAGTTTCTTTTCATCGGTTGGTGCTAATCTTTCCAGAAAAATCCCACAGACTCAGACACATATTAACACATATCTCTCAGGCAGCTATCCAAACTCTCTTCTTTCACCAATCAGCCCGGCAGATATTGTGTCCATCATACACTCTCTAAAAACCAAGGCAGGGAACACCAGTGAAATTCCGTCCATTGTGTACAAGAGAGCCTCCCATGCCCTTGCTCCACCCATAGCCCTAACCTAACCTAACGCCACCACGCACGGGGTGCGGCTCCATCCCGAGGGCGTAGGGAACCCGTCGGGCGCCCACCACGTGGCCCCGAGGGGCCCGCCCGAGTGGACCCCAAGAACACACATGGGCAAGGCACGAGAGGGGGATACCAAACCCAAGGCAACGCCCAGGGGGCGTAAAAACGCCCCCTGGAGGAGACGGCACCAGGGACAGGCTCGGGGCTGGCTCACCCTGCCGGTTCACGCTGAGAAGTCGAGGGGGTCCACGTCAATCACGTCGGACATGCTGAGGTCCGGGACCGTAGGTGTTGGCGTAAGATCCATGGAGTTAATCAGAATAAGTCCTCGTTGGTACTGGCGAGCAGGTCCACGTGGGAATCGTGTCGGCGGCGGAGTGCGGAGGTTGCTTGTGAAGTGGGCGGCGTCTGGGGGTGTACAGAGGTCGTGATTGATTGATAAAGATTAAGCCACCCAAGAGGTGACACGGGCATGAATAGCCCGTAAGTGGTGGCCCATTTGAGCCATTACCAGTATCATTAGCTGATACTGGAGATCTGTGGAGGTGCGACTGCACCCTGCGTGACGGGAGATGTCTTCCGTATGTGCTCTGCGAGAGGTCGTGACCTGATTGATTGATAAAGATTAAGCCACCCAAGAAGTGGCACTGGCATGAATTGCCCATAAAGGTCGTGACCTTCCCTGCCCTTGTTTAAGTACCCCCCATTTACTGCACGCGCAGCACTTGCCGCAAGGCACTGTACTTGTTTTTCTCCCCCCAGAAAATCCACTGCTTTCACGCAAGCAGTGTCCATTTCCTCTCACTATTCTCCTCCTCTCTTCACTTCACCTGTCACCCTTCGGGGTATATTTCCATTGTTGTTGTTGTTGCTTGCTTGTTTTCTTTCTGCGTTAGTTCAAGTACGTTTATTGAGAATACATCTCAAAGGGACAGAGTAGCTTAGGCTATTTCTACCTCTTGCGTTAGTACCCCATGACACTGCGTTTTCCGAGTTGCCATTTTGACTCCATATGGTACTTTTTCATCAGTATTTTCACTTTCACCATACACGGCAAGATGTTGGAGCCTTGTCCTGTGCTCCCAGGTGCTCTGTGAGATCCTCAATGCTACTTTTTTTTGCAGTCCCCGTGGCGTAGTGGTAAGACGCTCACCTGGCGTTACGCGAGTGCTTTGTCCTGGGTTCGTATACTGGCCGGGGAGGATTTACTGGGCGCCAATCCTTAATTGTAGCCTCTGTTTACCCAACAGTAAATTGGGTACCTGGTTGTTAAACGATTTGGCGGGTCGTATTCCAGGGAACATATTAAGGACTTGTCTGAAACGCTATGCGTGCTAGTGGCTGTACAAGAATGTAAGAACTCTTGTATATATAATTAAAATGAAATGAAAACTTGTGAATACCAAAACCCACACCAGTAGAGTTTTTTTTATAGCAATTAAATTTCCCCCAAACTAATACACTTAGAACTTGGAAGCCAGTATTTAGGATTACTTTGTGTTCTCCCGCGTGCGGTCAGTTTTATTGATCTAGTAATTATATTCAACAATAATTTTCAAATTCGTTATGCAGGTTAATTTTGTAGCCTTCGGGTATGTTGATGCATTGTCACATGCGCTCGTGCAGTTGGCCATCCACGGCCCTAGCTCCCTCTGGCCTCCTGGGACTGTCGTTACGTCGCCCTCTGCCACTGTTTACTCTGAAGCTTACATTCCCGCCACTTCGCATTTGGTATATTTATGTTTTATTTTACACAAATCTCAACCTGCTTCAATGTTGCATGCCACGTTCTTTTTATTTATTTATTTGTTTATTTATTTATTTATTTATTTATTTATTTATTTATTTATTTATTTATTTATTTATATAGACGAAGGTATATTGGGTTGTGAAAGCACATGTTTCTAACATGCTTAAACCAATTTTGTTTGCTGATGATACTACTCTCATCTACTCTGACCCCAACCCATTCATATTTAAAAATGTTGTAAACAATGAACTAAAAAAAAGTCCACTTATGGATGTCAACCAATAAACTTAGACTAAACATAAAAAAGACCTACTACATCTTATTTGGAAGCAAATCAACAAATGCAATTCAGCTTCAGATAGACAATGTAAACATTAGCA